TATATATATATATATATATATTGTGTGTTTTTATCCCTTCTGCAACTTAGCAAAGACAGCAGCAGAAGATGATAAAGCTTTCATTTAACTCTTGATTAAAACACACACACAAAGAACATCCCATTTGCTTTAATGTGTTGAGAGAACGCTGATGCGATGCCTTATTTTAAGGAAGCAAATCAAGTATAATCAAGACAATGATGATGGCTCCTTCAGCTTGTTTGATCCTTGGGTACCAAATTCCAATCCAAAAAGAGAAGTTTTCTCATCTCTTGCAACACCTCTTTAATGTTTTTTGCTCTAAAGGTGTAGTTTTAATTTATTTCTAAAATAATCAGCCTGTTTGGGATCTTGTTTTTACAATATTCAGGTTATTATGATACACATAATAACATATAAACATAATCAACAAAACTTGCTCTATGGATGCTATTGTTATGAAGGCCTCCTGGTTGATTCTAATGTTACTGGACAATTGGGAGAAAAAAATGATTTCCACAAATTTCTGCGATGTGGGATCCATTTCAATCTTAAATAAAATCAGATATTGATGCAACTGGTCTGGTCCATAACAGAATTGAAGCTAAAATAAGGCTTAGTAAGTTATGTGAATCCAGACAATTGCAATTTATGCATTAAACCATAACTGAACAACTTAGCACAACCTATAGATGCAGTCATTAACATCTTGGAGGAAAATGGCAGTCATTTCAGAAAAGATTTTAAAGATAAGGCTTTGGGTGATGTGACTTTGCAGCAATTCACAATTGCCCTGCCTCTCATGAAATAAACATTAAAATAAGACCTTGGATTATATCTATCATCTGTCTGTCTGTCTGTCTGTCTGTCTATCTAGATCTATCTATCCATCTGTTCATCTATCCAACCACTCATCTACCTCCATCCATCATCCATCTGTCTGTCTGTCTGTCTGTCTGTCTGTCTGTCTGTCTGTCTGTACCTAGATCTGTCTGTCTATCCATCTATCCACCCACATCCATCCATCCATCCATTTATCTATCATCTATCTAGATCTGTCTATCCATCTATCCACCCATCCACCTACATCCATCCATCCATCTATCTCGTATATAAAAATTACACATACCTATTTTCCTTTTCTTTCCTTTTCTCTTCAAGATACTGGTGAATCTCTAACCTGGCCTCTGGAGTATGAGGCACCGGTTCATCCCAAAACTCTCTGTCTTCATCATCATCCTCAAGTATTAATTTACGAAATTCTCCATCTCCTTCACAATTGTGGTGGTTCTCTGCTCCTTCTACGGAGTAATAGCTGGAATGTAAAGTGCAAAAGAAAATCTTGGGGCACTTGATTTATTTATCCACTTCAAAGCCTGCTCTCCAGCCACATCTCTAGACCAGTTGGAGAGCAGGACTACCAGTTCCATGTGAACGAATGAGGAATTAAGACAGTTGTAAAGCAAAACATCGATTCCCAGCATCAGTTTTATTTGCAAGAATGACTCTGGACTCTACAAGGAATGTTCTTACAAAATAAAACAAAACATCTTGGTGCTTTGTTTGGAAGTGTGCCTCCTTGCCCAGAAACTGTGGAGAAGGGAGACAAAGTTGAGCTATAGTTGAATGATAACAAAAGAGAGCATTCTCTTCCATTCAACCTGTGGCGTATTACCATTTTTCCCCCTGATGGCTCATATATCTGCATATCAGCTATCCTGAGAGAGGGCTTGCAACCTGCTTCCAAAATTCCAAATTATCTCCCAAGTGCAAAAAATAGCAATAGACACCCATAGACTAGGTAGCAATAAAATTGTAACAAAGTTCCAAATGATAAAATTTGTTGGGATTATCCCTTCTTTCTGTCCAGCGAATCTCAGGGCTATCTACAGGAAATAGTTTCTTATAATGTTCAAAATTAAATTAAAATAAACCTAGTCTTACAGACACAATCTAGAAGCTCTGGAATCTTCCTCTTATATTCCATCACATTCAGATCAAGTTTCTAGCTGAATTCATGGGACTTCAGGAAAAATAGAGGATAAGCCAGCATTTATGCATCAATCTCTTTTGAATTCCTGCCCTATCTGTTCAGGATAGCGGTAGGTGTTCAGGATCTGATGGTGCCTCCCAACCTGCATTCCTTAGTTGATGTTCCATCAGCTAAGGAATGCAGGTTGGGAGGCACCTAGCAGACGCGGCTGTTCTACCACAGCGTCCACTATTCTCCCTCTCATTAGCAAGATGGTTCTAGCCCTGCTGACTTTTTCTAAGCCCTTCAATATCAAGATTCTGTGTCCAGATTTGGCACTCCAAGCATGTGCAGGGATTTATTTCATGGATAATTTAGTATTTGTGGTGGGACAATTTATTTTCCGCTGCCAAGTATTTACATTTTTCTATTTATTTGTCATTTTGTTCACCGTATAGTCACTTGGTGAGATGACTGGCTATACAAATCAAATAACTGAAAATTGAATAAATACATATATATTCAGCTTTCCCTGCCCCAAACAAACTATAGAGGCACCTACATGGGTGTCTTAATATCTGTCTGTGATCGTTGCTCAAACCCCACATGCTGTCCTCTCTTCTTCTCCTTCCTTTCCTTCTGCTTTTCTAGCATCCGTCTTTCTGCCTCTTTTTTTTCTTCTTCTCTTTTCAGGCGATAGGTTTGCTCCTGCTGGTAGATTTTTCTTTCCAGCTCAGGGTAGTGCTGTAAAGCCTGAATCCTTTCTGACCGGGTTACCTCTTTGCAATCCAAAAACTTTAAATAGAAGCGGGAGGGGAGGAGAAAATGACATTTCCATACACCAAGCAAGAAATCTATCCCTCTGTGTTTTCATTAAATTATTCTTTTTATTAAATTTAAATGACTCGGTTGATTAAATTCCAAATTCCTCTGGCTCCAATTATCATAAAATCACATGTATTGCAAGGACGGACAACTTCTAAAAAGAAATATTATGGGATAAAAGGGCCATGGTGGGGAGGACGATGGTCGTGGAGGGCTTGCAAATGAGGGTGAACAATATTTTCACACAATTTTAGGAATAAAATAAAGCTGGCAACTGACGAGTAAATGTACCTTCCATGATTTTTTTTCCCTTATTTCATGTTTTTAAACAGTTGTAAGAAAAATAAAACCTGAGACATGTTATTCTCAGTGGACTCTGAAAACTTCTTTTTAGTGGAATTCTTTAGGGAGGGTCCACCAAAATTTAATAGTGAATCATCAAATCTTGAGGCAAATCTTGAGTTCCCATTTCTAGACAAGACAAGATTCCTAAAAGTGTGAAAATATTGTTCCTACCTACTTGCATGACATAACTGAATACAAATAGCCATTGACTTACAACCTTTTGTTTAGTGACCACTCACTAAAGTTCCAATTGAACCAAAAAAAGTGACATGCGACCATTTTTCACATTTACGACCTGTTGCAGCACCCTCGTGGTCACACGAATAACATTGGGACGCTTGGCAACCGGAATGTATTTATGACGGTTGCAATCGGGGTGGGATTCAAAATTTTTAACAACCAGTTCTGTGGGCATGGCTTAGGTGGTGGGTGTGGCTTGGTGGTCCTGTGACTGGATGGACATGGCTTGGTGGTCCTGTTATTGGCAGGGTGTGGCCAACTCAATATCACTCACATCGAGGCACGCATCTCCTCGCCTGGCCTCTCATGACTGTGGGGATGCTGCAACAGTTGTGAGTGTGAAAAAGGGTCATAAGTCACTTTTTTCAGTGCCATTGTAACTTTGAATGGTCACTCCATACAAGCAAAGTACCAGCAAAGGAAGGGAAAAAAACTCCAGAGAAGTTCCTGAGACAGGAAGTCTAGTCCTGCCAAGAATGTAATAAGGGTTAACGGAGAGGCAGTTTCTGTAAGCAACACCAGAATGTTTCCTTCCTGCCTTCCTTACAGGATTAGGCCAGTAATTTCTTCTAACAACCGGTTCTCCAAACTGCTTAGAATGTTAACAACCGGTTCTAGAGAATAGGTGCGAACTGGTAGAATCCCACCCCTTGGTTGCAATTGTCCCGGTGGTCATGTGATACCTTTTGCAACTTTACTACAAGCAAAGTCAATGGAGAAGCCAGATTCACTTAACGACCGGGTGACTAACTTCACAACTGCACCGATTCACTTAATAACTGTGGCAAGAAAGGTCGTAAAATGGGATGAAACTCACTTAACAACTGTCACGCTTAGCAATGCAAATGTGAGGCTCAACTGCGGTTGTTAAGTCAAGGACTACCTGTATAACTCTACTGACACTTAATCTTTTAATTCCAAACTTGTCCAACCTGCATGAGCTTCTGCATCATTAGGAACGTTTCTGGTTGATAAGATCTACAGGAGGAGAGCAATGGTTTGGTAGGCATGACAAGGTATCTTGCCTTGTTCTGCCTTGGCAACTTTTAAGACTTGTGGACTTCAACTCCCAGAATTCCCCAGACAGTGTAATCCTGTATGTATCACTACAGCTGTCATGGCTTTGTTGGAGTCTGACTCTGAGGGGGAGATTGAGTAGCTGACAGGGAATGGGAGTGTGGCTCCAGTGGCTGTGGAGGAAGCGGGGGAAGGGCACAGTCCAGCTGGGCATTCAGAGGAAGACCCAGGGCCACCTCCTCTTCATCCTAGGGCACACATGGAGGAACGGAGGAGACAGCAACGTGGTTTATGGGAGAGAAAAAGGCCCTGATCCCTTTCATTAGTTGCAGCTGGGAGAACAGGACATAAGAAGGACGTTTGCACACAGCACCTTGCTGGAAGCAAAGCGTGCATTATCTTTGTCTGGGTTTTGGCGTTCTCCCAACTGTGTGTGTGTTTCGTTATCTTTTGGAAGTCTGCAATTTATTATCCTGGCCTGTCATGTTAACTACTTCGGCATGGTTTGTGTTGTTTTTTTTTTATTTCTAATTTAGCTGTACTTTGGGTTCGGACTGTATTTCTTCCCTTTGTAGACTGTTTTTGGAAGAGTTTGATCTCCAGCTGAGGATAACTGGACACTGGGGGCCAGGTTGGAGGTATTAAATGGACTTTACCTATTTTTGTGACTTTGTTGCTTTTGTGCCATGCCCCAGGTCACAACAGCCATAAATCCCTTTAAGTAAAAGTAAAATGAATTCCCTAACAAAGGACCATAGCCCAGTACGTTTTTCTTAATTGATGTTACCTTCTGCCTACAGGAATTGTCTCATCTCAATAATCTCAATAAAGAATTCCTTTGTGATACGTTTGGATACGTTTTCAGAAGTTCATTCTAGTTGAGTGAATGGGAAAAGTTCTGTAGCCTGACACCTTCCTGATTTTACTACTTTTTCTAAATATCTATATTTTTACATAAGTGTGTTAACCCAAAGGTGCTCTTTCAAGAGGCGACTGGACTTTCTGTTTTTTCTTTGAAGATGTTTCGCTTCTCATCCAAGAAGCTTCTTTAGCTCATGATACAACATAGGAGAACAAACCCACCAGGACTAGATTCACCTGCATTTAAAAGACACAGGCCTCTCATTTGAAGGCAGCAAAAGTCCACGTTTTGGACAGAGAGTCCACTGGTTTCCATTAAACAAAAGAGAAAAAAAGAAATTTGAAACCATCGTAAGTAGATTGGAAGAGGCGTTGAAGAGGCCATTCTATGTCAAAATTGAACAGCCTTCAACGGGCGGGGTGGTGGTGGTTTAGACATCACCTATCTCCCATCTACAATTCAGTCCTTTCAACAGTTCCAAGAAGGCTCCATGCCCATTTGCACCACTCAGGCGACCCCAATGACACCGATAAACCTCCAGATGACTCTCTAAAAGGATGCAAATGACCAGCTGTCTGCAAGGAGTACAAATCCTTCCATTCTCCACCATCCATCAGTCAGAGCTGAAGAAGCTTCTTGGATGAGAAGTGAAATGTCTTCCAAGAAAAATTAGAAAGTCCAGTTGCCTCTTGAAAAAGCACCTTTGGGACAACCATGATCTGGATGACTGAGAATCTCCATAGACATGTGTGTTAAATTAGAGATTTCTCCCTTTGGCCCAAAGGCGGCTATTGTTATTTAAATTAAAATGTATTTTAATCAAATAGACATACTCTAAGTTGTTGTAGGGTAGCAACCACAAACTGCCTATAGCCTTCAAAATCAGTGCATGGATTTCCTATGAGGAACAGCTCTTCGAGGTGTATATTATTTTTCAATATTTTCAGACTAGACAATTCTCCAATGAAATTTGCTGTCAGGTCCAGCTTCTGCAGATCTTCACAACCTGTTTGAAAATGAAAAAGGACTTGAAAACAGAATGATCAACTCTGCATTAAATTAACAAACACTCCTATCTCAAAATCATCATACTGACCCCCTTCCTCTTCCATCCTTTTTATGAAAGTAAATATCATATGCTAAAAGGATAAGCAACATTATTTTAAAATGATTAAGATTTGTCTCTCAAGTCATAAAACATTTTCTCATAAAGTCGGATATGTAAATGTTTAAACATTTATAAGTGCAAAATAGGAAAGTGATTTATAACTTTCAGATTTCACGACAGTAACCATCAATCATATTTGTATTAGTTTTGCCCTGCAGTGTATTATATTTTATCATATAATTTTACATATCACTTTATCATCTTACTTTTATACTTCGTGACCTGCCTAGAATCCCTTGGGATTTGGATAGTCAATGCAATTCATAAAGTAATAATATGCGACCAGAAACAGCAGCTTCTTACCATCCTGGTTTTTTTTTTATGCCCATGAAATAAAAAATATTTGTTCCTGATTTTAAACCATAATCATCCAGGATGCACACAGAGTATGATGGTTAACTAGAAGTGCACAGAATCACTGGGAGTCAAGCAACATATAAATTAAATATATTACCATTGATTGCATAGTCAGCCAGATATTTAAAGTGGATTTAGCATTTTTATCCAGCTATCGAGTTCTTCCCAAGGACTTCGGATATTATTATTACTGCTCTAGGACTGCAAGTGCCCTCTTAAAACTTTTGGTTCGCTCTCCAGGTCATCTAAAACTGTATACAGGGGTACCTCAGTATTATTCATCATTAATTAGTTCCGGGAGGTACGATGAGTACCAAAAAGGATGAAGAGTAAACAAACTTTTCCCATAAATATCATATGCTGTAGGGCAGGGGTGTCAAACATGATTTCATTGAGGGCCACATCAGGGTTGTGTTTGAGCACCGGGGGGGGGGGGAGCAGGTTGGTGTGTCCGGCATGGGCGTGGCCATGGTGGGCGTAGCCAGCTCGACATCACTTGTGACAGGGGCACTTGTGGCGGCCTGGGCGGGGCTGGGGGGGATCCACTTTTGCTAGTAGTTTGTTTTGCTCTAGCGGTTTGTGAAAATGGACTTGGGGGGGGGGCTGCGTGCCCCACTGGGCTCCATTTTTGGCTTGACAGTCTCCTGCAGCCCTCTGCCAGCAAAAAGGGCCATCGTGCACGGCCCTCCTAAGCTCTGTTTTCACTAGCAGAGGCACCCCATGGGCTGGATTCGGCCTATGGGCCTTGAGTTTGACACCCCAATGTAGGGAGTCAAAGGCAGCTGACATCAACAACTTCTAGATTCTAGTGTCGAGTATCAAGCAAACAAGCACCGGGTCAAAAATTTTGTGCACTGAGTCCCAAATTCAATGTGTTTCAAAGGCAGCTGAGTATGAAAGTATCACTGTATGAGGATGTGACAGACTGAAAAATAAAGACTCTACAGTTGAAATGTGCCTGCCTTTTTGCAGAAATAGATGCAGATACATTAACAAGCATTCCCCACAGAAACATTCTTTGAAAGACACGTATCTTACCTTCCAAATTTTCAAATTTTTCAATGTTGTTTAAAGCCAGATTTAAATATACAAGCTTCTTCAGTCGGCTCACATTTTCTGAAACATAATTATTACATGTGTCAGTTTTGCTAGGATACACTTAGCATTCCCAATAGTTCAGCAGTTAATTCTTAAAAAAGAGCATCCAAACATAAATTGAAACAGGAAAAAAAGACATCTTAAAATACCAAAAAGATTACTTGAGCAAAATGATGAATTAATTGTGAATTTAATACACAGAATGTTTATGTCAGAAAAAGAAAAGCCTGGCATGAATTAAGGATCTTCTTATTCAAATGACATCCTTCTCCACTGCAAGGATTTGGAGGATTAACTTAAACTGCCCAGTTTTTACTTTTAAAAAAATCCAAAGGATTGCTGATTGGATTAATTTGAATAAAACACACCGATTATATCAGTATTGATTCTAAGGTCCCTTCCCACCCTATGATTCCATGTTCTATGTCTGTATTAAGGAGACATTTCCAGTAAAAGTTAGGTCTACTTTCCCCATTTTAAATGAGTTTTCTTCCTTAAGTTATCATATATCCTTTTCTGAATGAAAAGTGAAGAGGAACTAAAAAGCCTCTTGATGCGGGTAAAGAAGGAGTACTAAAGTTGGCTTGAAACTCACCATTAAGAAAACTAAGATCATGGCATCGGCCCTCTCAATTCCTGGCAAATAGATGGGGAAGAAATAGAGGAAGTGGCAGATTTTATTTTCCTGGGCTCCAAGAACACTGCAGATGGGGACTGCAGCCAAGAAATTAAAAGACGCTTGCTCCTGGGGAGGAAAGCTATGGCAAATCTAGGCAGAACACTAAAAAGCAGATATATCACCCTGCCAACAAAAGTGCGTATAGTCAAGGCTATGGTTTTCCCAGTTGCAATGTATGGCTGTGACAGCTGGACCACAAAGAAGGCTGAGCGCCGAAGAATGGAGGCCTTTGAACTATGGTGCTGGAGAAGACTCCTGTGAGTCCCTTGGACTGCAAGGCGATCAAACCGGTCAGTCCTGGAGATCAACCCTGGCTGCTCTTTAGAAGACCAGATCCTGAAGATGAAACTCAAATACTTTGGCCACCTCATGAGAAGGAAGGACTCCCTGGAGAAGAGCCTGGGAACGATTGAGAGCAAAAGAAGAAGAAGGGGACAACAGAGAATGAGGAGGCTGGATGGGTCACTGAAGCAGTTGGCGTGAGCTTAAATGGACTCTGGGGGATGGTAGAGGACAGGAAGGTCTGGAGGAACATTGTCGATGGGGATACGATGGGTCGGACACGACTTTGCAACTAACAACAATCCTTTTCTTGCTAAGAAAGATCACTACGTACATCAATTCACTTCACCAATATACCAACCAATTTTGGAGATCAAGTTATTTTGGAGATAGAGAATTTTTAAATTTCGGCACCATTTGTCCAGATGTTCAATTTTCTCTATGTTCTGTTGATGCAGGGAAACTTCTTCCAAAGAGAACAGTTCACAATTGTTATGTTCCGCCCGTTGTCTCACCAATTCTTCTGTGACTGAAAGACATATCACAGAACAGAAAAATAGTTTCTTCCATAGAACAGAAAGGATGCAAGAGCGTTCCTTGGAAATAAACTAAATTCATTCATTCATTCATTTATTTATATACAGAAATTTCATAAAAGCAAACAGAATTGTAACAAATCAGAACTATAAGAATGGCAAATATAACAAATGGCTCAAACAAATTAATTGTGTGTTTTGATTGGCATTGTCTATTGTGTTCCATCAAATGCATGCAGTTGAGAAACGAATCTTATCAAAGATTTTCCTTGGCAAATGAAGAATAAATGACCCAGAGGAATAATCTCACTCACGTTTAAAGAGGCATTAATAAATCTTCAATACTTCATTATTTTGCAATGAATGTTTTTTATTCAGAGAAAAGCTCAACCTTATATTCATCAATAAAAGAAAATGGCAGAAGGCGTTTAGAGCAACAGTCTCCAAGCTTTTTGGCATCAGGGACCATTTCATGAAAGACAATTTTTCTTTGGGGCAGGAGATGGCTTTGGGGGGGGGGGAATGGTTTTTTGGTGGGGGGGAATCGTTCGGTTTTGCTCAGTTGTCGATCACTCATCTCCAACTGTGCTTCCCAGGCCATGATAGCAGTCCAGGGGTTAGGAACCCCTCGTTTAGAGCGAAAGTCTCCCCCACCTAAAATAAATAGCATTATTCCATCCCAATATAGCCATATGGGAATTTTAAGTGATTCAAAATGTGAAGTTTCAACCCAATTGCTCTATTGTCCATCTTTCTTTGAAAGATTATCCCTCCCCAAAATCAGTAAGACACATTTTAGAAAACCTGTATTTCAAATGTGAAACATATACTAGTATCCAATAATCAGTATGTGGAATGAATCCTTCCTGATGGTGATATCAGAAAGAAAAAAGAATTTACAGGCAAGAACCTTGGAGAGGAGATTCACCCCACAGAGATACTGACCAACCCCCCAGGAGAGGGGTCAGCTCCTCTCACCCCATCCAGCCCACCTCGCAGGGTTGTGGTTGTTGCAGGGGGAAGCCATGGGGCAAGAGGGAAAACAGAAAGGAATTGAAGGGAGTGAGAGACTTAAAAAATATGCACAGTATTATTTATCTAATTAAACTTTACCTTGATTTATATTATTACATTGATGATATTTGAAATTTAACTTATACATTTAATTTACATTTAATAGAAAGTAATAGTTAATGTTTAAGTGAATTATTTTGTATGTTTTATTTTGATTTTTATCTAATTACTTTAGAACCTGATTTCTATTAAATTTATAGCATTTGATATTTAACCTATAGATTTAATTTATATTACATTTAAAAGGAAATATTTAATTAATATTTGTGAATTATTTTGTACATTTTATGTATATTTATATTATAAACACTATATATTATACATACATATTTATAAATGCATGTATATTTATGTCACACACACACACACACATATATATATATATATTCACATATATACACTAAATTATATTATTTATATAAAATTAATTTGAGAATTAAAATTATATGCAAATATACACACACACACACATTTCTATTTACTAATAACAAGTGAGGGAATGGGACTGATGGGAGTTGTAGTCCAACCCCTACACCCTGCAGGTGCCCGGTTGGAGGGAGCCTAGTTCGAAAGACAGCCGGGCTTCGGGGTGGAAGCGGCTTCGCCTTTCTTGACTCCGGGGGCGCGGGGGGACGACAAAGCCCATCAGGCCGTGGCCGATGGGAGTTGTCGTCCGCCCTTTCTGGATGAGGCCGGCTCGCAGGAGACCTCCGAAAGGCCCGCGTAGCAAACTCGGAGCTTCCACCACCCCCCGCACGCCACCGCGGCTGAGGAGCGGCTACTTACTCCGCACCATTCCCGCCGCCTCCCTCGGCCGCTTCTGCAGGCCGCTTGCAGGGGACGCCGCTTTGCGGTCGCCTCGGCAACCAGACCGGGCGGGGAGCACGCACCTCGCTAGCCCCGCCCACCCAAGCCGGAGAAAGCAATTCAAGAGATAGGGAAACGGAGCCAATCTACCCACAGTTCCGGTGCTTGCAGCGAGCTCCGCGTTCTCCGAGTGGCCGTCCCGACGCGGTGTCCTCTAGCCGGGAAGGACTCCCAACTTCCATTATCCCCCCCTCTCCGACGCTTGTGGAACGAGTAATGCAGTAAATAAATTTCATAAATAGAAATAAACATGTTTGGGAGGCAGCCGTTTGGAAAAGCCAAATCCTTTGCAGATAAGGTGAAGAATTTTTCTCCCCCCTCCGACCTTCTTTTTTGGATTTGCGTGGAAAATAACGTAAAGAGAGGTCGCTCGGATACCGGAATTGTTGAACTATCTGGGCGGGAAGTGTTTTCTATTGAGATAGGGACAAATTCCATTTAGCATTTGACACAGAGAGATTTTAACTGATGGGAACATTCATACACTATTGTTGTTGTTGTTGTTGTTGTTGATAGTCGTTGACTTATTACCACAATTGAGCCAAAAATTTTCCATGGCTAAAGCGAGACAGTGTTTAAGTGAGTTCTTGCTCCGTTTTATGACCTTTCTTGCCACCGCCGTTAAGCGAATCACTGCACTTGTTAAGTTAGTAACATGGTTGTTAAGTGGTTTCCCCATTGACTTTGTCAGAAAGTCTCAAAAGGGGATGATGTGACCCCAGCACACACCCATCGTCATAAATATGAATCATTTGCCATGCTCCTGAAAGTTGATCACATGATACAAGGGTCATAAATGTGAAAAATGACATAATTCATTTTTTTTCCATATATGATGTAACTTTGAATGGTCACTAAATTAATGTAAGTTAAGGGCTACCCATATTTATTAAACTTGTCCTCAATAAGTTTGTTTGATTGATTTGATTGCTGTTTGAAAGTTATAACTTTAGGAATAATTAGAGGCAAATATAAAAAAGACATTGAATATCTTATAATAAACGTTCTGACAGCAGCAAGATTAGCCTATGCTTAAAATTGGAAATTGGAGGATAATTCCATGGATACTATGTTGATTAAAAAAATTATGGATTGTGCGGAAATGAATATGCTTATGATGGAGTTACAAGAGAAAGGAAAAAAAGACTTGTATGGTCTGGGAGAAATTGTATGTTTGGATAGACAACAGGAATTAACAGATAAAGTATAAGATAAATATAAATAATGAATATATGTAGATATGAATAAGGGAAGCTGGGGAAAACCAATGCTATAACAAATTGCAAAAATTATAAACATGATTTGCATTTTTTTTTAATTTTGTAAAACTTTAATAACAATTATTTTTAAAAAAAGTTATAACTTTTAAAAATAAAGCAATTTTGTGACCCAAATTATTCTAAGTTCAAATTAACTAATGGGCTGATTGTAAAAGAATGAGTATCCTGCTGCTTTGTATTCTGTCTTTTTGACTTGGCTCAGCTCCATTCTTAAAATCTCTATATACAGGAAATCCTTGAGTTACAACCGCAATTGAGCTCAAAAAATTTCTGTTGCTAAGTGAGACATTTGTAAAGTGAGCTTTGTCCCATTTTACAACCGTTCTTGCTTCAGTGATTAGGTCAGTGGTGGCTAACCTTTTTGGGCTCCTATGCCAAAAATATTGTACACGCTTGTGCTTGCGCACTCATGTGCCGGCACCCAGAAGGCAATGTGCACCCCTGCCCCCTGCGCATGTGCACACATTCCCCCCACGCCCCCTTACCTGCACTGCGCCTCACAGCTGATTTTCTGCCAGCTTGAGGCCTTTTTCGGCCTCCCAGAGGCTTGAAAAATCCCTTTGCAGGCCAAATAATAGGCCCGTTTTGTCACTTCTAGTATTACAGGAAGTGACAAAACGGGCCTATTATTCATCCTGCAAAGCCTGCAGAGGGTTTTTTCAAGCCTCTGGGAGGCCAAAAAAGCCTCAAATCAGCTGAAAAACCAGCTGTGAAACGCATGCACGTGCAGTGGGGTAAGTTTGTCTGTGGCTTGCGTGCCAGCACAAATGACCCTGCGTGCTACCTGTGGAACGCGTGCCATAGGTTCACCATCACGGGGTTAGGTGAATCACAGCAGTTGTTAAACTAGTAACATGGTTGTGAAGTGACTCAGAACTTCCTGGATGAGTTTGTCAGAAGGTCGCAAAAAAGGACCACAGACCTTGGGACACTGCAACCGTCATAAATATGAGTCAGTTACCAACAGCTGAATTTTGAGCACATGGCTGTGGCAATAGTTATAAGTGTGAAAAATAGTCATATCACTTTTTTCAGTACTGTTGTGACTTTGAATGGTCACGAAACTAACTCAAGGAATAGCTTTATTCATTTTTTATAAACTTGGGTTGATTATTAGCTCTATATTCTTCAGCAGAGCAGCTTCCAGCAGGAATTGCCTTTTGCTATAGGAAAATTAAATCTAGCTTAATGGTCACGAGGGCAAATAAACAGTGCCTTTCTACTCTTGAAATACACTGCACTTGTTATTTCTGTAATGGCTGTTAATGGCTTTTGGCTGCTCTGAGTTTTCCTTTCAGCTGGTGCTTTTGTATTTCTTAAACAGGGAAGGGCTGTTTGCATTTTTTTAAGGGGGAAGCTTTTTGGTACTGCTTTAGTGGTTCCTGACGCTGTCCTTTTGGGATGTACATCCCACAGGTGCTGGCAGAGAAACCATGAGATGATGAATACTAGTCCTGCTTTAAGCACAAAAGCTGGCTGGATGTCTTTGGGCCAATCACAAGGTGGATGTGAGTTCTTGTCCCAATTTAAGGATGAAAGCCAATTTGGTGACTTTGGGTGAATCACCAGGAGACAGTGAGTTCAAGACACGAAACCTGCTTGGGTTTTGGCTCAGAATCCACACAGATTAGATCAACTATTACCTATAAAAGAAGATTTATATAACTCTTTTTAAAAATCTCACTGAGAAGGGGAGGAATTTGTACTCTGTTCTTTTTCATATTCTAGACCCGTGATGGCGAACCTATGTATGGCACGTATGCTGGAAGTGGCACGCACAGCCATCTCTGCCGGCACGCAAGCCGTTGCCCAGATCAGGTCCACTGGGCATGTGCGCATGCCTCCCAACAGCCAACTGATTGTTGGGTATCTGCCGTGCATGATCGGGGGTGGGACACGCGCAGGAAGGTCACAAGCGCATGTGCAGTCACGTGGTGTGCGGGAGAGTCACGTGCATATGCGCAGGGGGTGGGGGTGGGTTGCATGTACATTGCATTATGGGTGCAGGCACGTGCACACTTTCGGCAAGTGATGACGAAAAGGTTAGCCACCACTGTTCAAGACAGACTGTTGAGTAGGACTTGGTGGGCTACCAAAAAAGATTTCTGAGGTCCACCAAGAAAATGAGACACTGTCCCTAAATAAGATCCTTTAAGACAGCGCCGATCCAGGAAGGTTGCCTGCTGTTGATCCTAGGTAATTTTCTCTACTGGAAGTTAAAACAGCCATACAGGAGGATCCTGCTCCCATTTGACCTGCCCATGTTGCTATTTTAGGTCTAGCTGGGTTTTCTTGACAGGGGACAAAGCTGAGGTACAAAAATTGTGACAAAACAATAGGCCCAACAGGTAAGTAGCACCTGTTTAGCCTTTGCAAAGGGCTGGGCTGTGTAGTTTCAGATACAGACAGAGGCTGATGGGTCCAAATGGTCCTTTACAGGATACAGTCTCTTTTCCAATGCAGAAGAACAAGCTAAGCCAGTAACTAGAAAGATCTACCAGGTGAGCATGGAAGAATTTCTGGACCAAAACTGTACAGACTTGCAAAAATGAACCAAGCTCCTAGAACAACCAACCAGAACGATACATGGATGCCGTTACCACCTTCGTTTGACATCTGTCCTCCTGGGCTGGAGTATTTAACCCAAATCGATTGGTTATTAATCCACCAGAAATATGAAATTCTGGAGCTGATCACGTCTTTCGAAACCGCCAACAAGTACGAAGTGAGAAACAGGCTGGGGGAAATGGTGTATTTCGCCACGGAAGAGAACAACTTCTGTGTGAGGAATTGCCTCGGGTCCCTGCGGCCGTTTACCATGGTGATCTCCAACCAAGTGGGACAGCAGGTCATCCATCTTGTGCGGCCTTTCCGTTGTGACGGCTGCTGTTGCCCCTGCTGCCTACAAGAATTGGAAATCCAGGCCCCGCCAGGCTTACCCATTGGCTACATCCAGCAGCTCTGGGACCCCTGCCTGCCCAAATTTGTAATCCAAAACGAAGCCCACAAAGATGTCCTAAAAATCTTTGGACCTTGCATAACATCCGCCTGCTGTGGCAATGTGGAATTTGATGTGACAGCGCTAGACGAAAAGACCAGTGTTGGAAAGATTTCTAAGCAATGGGGAGGTGTTCTCCAGGAGTTCTTCACCGATGTTGATTTCCTCGGAATTTTGTTCCCTCTGGATCTTGATGTTAAAATGAAAGCAGTGATGCTTGGGGCTGGCTTCCTCCTTGATTTCATTTTCTTTGAAGAAGGGGGATTAGGTGGAGGAAGATGTAGTGTTTGGTGTTAAAAGCTAACCGTCCCTGCATTATAAAACCTTTAGAGAAAGAATTTGTGTTTATCTATTCTTCCTTGGCTAAAATGGGGGCTCAGGTTTGCTTACTAAAGATCGTCTTGGGATAACAAATATTAAAGCTTATTTTTGATAATATTTGGTCCCATAAACCTTTCCTGCCCCTGTAGGAGAAGAACTATTTCAGGACACTGTCTGTATTTTGGGCAGACTTTCAAACCGAAAGAAAAGAAGATATATGTCATACTGTAGTAGCATTGCACAAAAATTTACTCCTTACGGTGCAACGCAAATATGAAAGGACAACGTATTCACTGTGGTGTCATAATGCAGTTGTGCTTCTTTGTCATCGTGATGGCCAG